TAGTATCTTTATTAAGAATAATGTTTTTAATATTTTTATGTGTTGATTAGTTTTACAAATTTAGTTTACAGATTGTTGGAGTTTGAATTTTCTTTTCGATTTATTTTTATGCGATGTTAGCAGCTATATTGTTACATTTTATAATAACTTTAATGAAATTTACTTTCAGTATAATAATGTTATAATTTTTTTAAACTCTTATTTCTTAATAGATAAATATGTAGAGTATGAGAATTATTCTCCTAGTGGGAAATTCCCGATACCGACTTCTCCTTAAATTAGGCAAATATGGACGGATATGGGACAAAATGAGAGAAGAATATGGAGTTGAGGAAGCATACCCGTCCCCGCCCCGCCTCATTGGCCATCCCTAATAACCAACCAAGCCCATGTAATATGGATCACAGTTTAACATGCTTGGATCGACAATACTGTGCCCATGGCAGCAGAAATAGAAGCTAACAAAAGGCTACTAGTATTGATAAACCACTAACATATTTTGAGCCAACACTATTTTGAAATAGAAGCTAACAAAAGGCTGCAAAAAGGTGCTGTGGGATAAACCATTAACTCTATTTTTAATTTTTAATTGCTAGATAGATTGATACTCCGTTCATTTCACCTATTTGAGTTTAGAATTCAAGTTTTGCTATAGTAAAAAGCTCTTAGAAATAGTCACATCTAGCTTTTTTGCTACAATAAAAAGTTCTCATATAAAATCATATCTCAACTCGAATCAGTGAACTAAACGAGCCCAATAACTTTTAATGATGATCCTTGGATAAACCATTAACTCTATTTTGAATTTTAAGCTGGTGAATGAGGAATGAAAGATTGCTCACATGACCAACTCCCAACTCCCTATAAGAAAATGAAAACGACCCTCGTTCTCTTCGCGGATTCGAGTTTTCAATTCGAATTGAGATGTGATATTTTGTGAGAACTTTTTACTGTAGCAGAAAAAGTTAGATGTGATATTTTCTGAGAACTTTTTACTGTAGAAACTTAAAACTAAAAACTTAAATCGGTGAAATGAACGAGGTCGATCTGCTCAGAATAAACTTTTAAAAACAACTATTAGTACCTGAGTTATGGAAGTTTGTGGTCCAAAATATTGAAAATTGTCACCCTTTAGCAGAGAAAGTGGTATCAAATTTAATTGTTAGGATATTGGATGCCCAATATAAGTCCTATAAATTTATGTGCTTACCATTGTAGGAACTAGGAAATCAGTCTACTTTCTTTGTCCTAACTATAGGATTGTTGTGCCTTGCTCGTGCTAGATTCTAACTTTTAATATCAGCAAATGGGAATGCCACAATTTGGTGTTATTATAGTGCCTTGGTTATGGTCCACCTCCTAGACCAAATTCAGTTGATCCCCAATTGGAACAGAGTAATTTGAGAGGTCAAAATCATTAACATGTTTGGTTCATTTGTGGGTCCCACAATTAAAGCTATGGTCGATAATGAACGCGGCCTCTACACATATAACATGTAAAAGGCGAAATATAATAGAATATTTATTATATATGATTGATTATACTTTAATTTTTATCCGTTTAATGTGTGAAACTGATTAGTGAAAGACTGTAGACAAACCCTAAAATTATAATCGGTACTCACATTTTATAGATAGTTAAAACTCAACAATTATACGTTACAAGCAAGTTGATATAGTCAATGTTGGCTCATTATTTACATGACGATTGATCATAAAAGAATAACAACAACACCAAACAAATACAAGCCTTAATCCCAAATTAATTAGAGTCGGCTATATGAATTTCTTGTTTCTAGCTGCTCTATTAAACGGAACGCTCCAACAGAGTCTGTAAATGAGAAATCCATATAAAGTGACATATTTTTACGCAGACTGTCAACCTACCGCAACCTTTCTCTCTTTACACGGGCTTAAAACTGGCTATACAAATCACCGTATAGGCGGAGTTTAAAAGACAAGAGTTGGAGGACACAATGATGTGCCATTCAAAGCATGTGTGATGGAAGGGAAGGTGGCAAGTGTAATGTGCTCATACAATCAAGTCAATGGAAAACCAACATGTGCTGATCCTGACCTTCTCAAGAACACAAGCAGAGGTCAATGGCATCTTAATGGGTAAGTGCCAATTAGTTTAGATTCACATATAGGAACACTTCAAAATTGTTCAATTGTTCAAGCTGCTGATACTTCTGTTAAAGAAATTTGCCAAGTTTTTCATTGTTTATTGTCACAAAAATAGGTACATTGTCTCAGAAGAAGCTGCAGAAGACACAATTAACGCATTAGTTTTTTTTGTTTTTTTTGTCCCTCTTTCTATGGTGGGAATTTGGAATTTTGTACTAGTATTGTGTGTATTCTCAACGTGAAATCATATGAGAATTACTCGAGAATAAAATAATATGTAAATTTAATAGAATTAAAACAATTGATGAAACTGAAATATAACTTGTTACGAGGAAATATTAAGACAAAACAATAATTTTAGTTTTATGGAATTTTGACACATGTATTTACATCGTGTGTTAATAATAAAAAAAGTATATAACATATGATGGGTCTCGCCATAAAATTTTTTATAATGCACATAATTTCTCTCAATTTTATCATCTTCAACTAATGAGTTTTTTTTTTTTTTTATTTCCCGTTTTTCTGGGTGAAATGAAGGTTTGGATCATGGATGAAAATGTCCATGACATTGTCGATATTTTCACGACATTATCTATATTTTGAAGTCTCGACATGAATAACAAGAGGAGGCGGTGTGTGGGGACATGTCCATAAAATATCCACAATAATAAAAAATATCCATAAAATCTGTAAATATCTGTAAATATCCAAGATATTTTTAGAAATGTCCATAAAATGTCAAAAACACCATTTTTTTTTTTTTGCACAACAATTAAATTTGTAGCACATTTGTTTCCTATTCTTTTGATAAATTGTGACAACATGATTCAAATAAAAAAATAATAAAAATATTAAGATTTAATTAGTTTAATTAAATAATTTTTACTTTTTAAGTTAATCATTCATATTTAAATACTGGAGAAGAAGATTTTACTCATGCTACATAAATGAAGATCATGCGTGTAGGGCAACAGCTCCAGGTATTAGGGCAATTAGAAAAAAAAAATTATAAAACGACGTTGGTGTGACTCAAATGGTCAAAAAAAAAAAATTATAAAACGACGTGGTGTGACTCAAATGAGTCAAAAAAAAAAAAAAACTGATGACTATTATGTGGCTTTCAATTTTGATTTCATGAATTTAAGAACTGAACAAAGTTCAGATAGTTATAATCATTCATAAAATTTTCACATAGGATCTACTTCAAAAGTACAAAACCAAGATGGTTTGTTTGATATATTAATGTATCATCCACCACAAGTTAGTGTTGAAATGACATCACACATGCCTGAAGACTACTCAGTAAGTTGGATAAACTAACAGTTTACAATTTATGGATTAACAGTGGGAAAAGATCAAGAAACATACATGTGACACATCAATAATTACCTCTAAAATTATTTAAGGGTAATATCTTGTCAAATGTATTGTCTAGATCAAAATCGAAACCTACCTAAAGTGTTTTTCAACTTGCTAAAAACTCATTTTTGGTACTGAAAGCACTTTAAGTCCGTCTAGACTCTATTATGTTTGGTAGTTAATTTTTATGTAATATATTAAATTATTGTGCTTATTTGTATTATGTATGTAAAATTATATGTGAATCATAATCCATATATTATCATGATAATTTTATACTATACTAATTGACATAACTCGACATAACTCTCATGTTCTGACCACAATTTATTATTTTTATTATTAAATTAGTTCAAATTAAGTAATATTAATTGTTTTTAATATTTTTTGTAGTTTCAATAAAAAATTTTAAGGTTTTCTCAAGTTATACATTTTTTTCCTCAAAATATTCATCGACGTCAACATTTTGGTCGACATTACCTTTTACTTAAAATCCATGTTACTTCTCAAGTGAAAGCCATGGCATAAGATTGGAAGCTAAATTGCATGCCTATAATTACCATGATCGAAGATAAAAGATGTACAGTCAGAAACCATCAACAAATGAAAAGATGAAATCCTATGCACATTGCAAACTAAAAGATTACCAGAACTGGAATCCCAACATACAATTGTGCACAATTTTCAAGCTCATTCATTATTCAAACTATACCTAGATTAGCCTAATATCCTGCTTTCAAAACGCCGTTGAATTTAACTAGCAACTAAACACTTTTACAGAAACTTTCACCCGTACACTACGGTTAAACTTAGAAAAATCAACAACTCATGCTATAGAAATTTATTTTGATCTCTTTCAATTTATAAATTCAAGTTTTCAATTCGAGTTTAGATATGATTTTATGTGAGAGCTTTTCACGTAATAAAAAATTAAATGTGACTTTTTATAAGAGCTTTTAACTATAACAAAACTGAAATTAAAAATTCAAATTGATGAAATGAATGAAACCTTTATTTCAAATGATCATGTTTGCAAACTTGAACTTCTTCGCAACTTCTTCAAACATAGGAAACAACCTTTTTTAAAAAGAAAAAAATAATAATAAAATATAAGTGCATTCAATTAACCTCTTTCATACAATGCTCCACTCAACATTCTAAAGTCTAAACCAACAAAACTGATTCAACTCTTAACAAACAAGACATAAACTTGGTTCATGCGCGTTCTTTTCCCAACTCAAATTTTTTTACTACAGTATTTTCTCTCACATAAAATTCATTTTATAACTCAAGTTCTCAACTTAAGAACTTATATAAAGACATAAACTTGGTTCATGCGCGTTCTTTTCCCAACTCAAATTTTTTTGCTACAGTATTTTCTCTCACATAAAATTCACTTTACAACTCAAGAACTTATATATATCTAACAAATAAGTTCTAGCACCCATAAAACTTTTTTGCTTGGGTACATGAAAACTCTTATTCTAGCACCCATAGATTTTGGAGGCAGCTTTGACTTGAACTTGGCACGAACAACACCACTGTTACCGTGAGGCCTGGTAACCTTGCCCCAAATGCAGCAATAGTCAAGACACATTCTTCTTCATCTTGGCCTTGTAGATGTACCCCGAGCGCTTTCCTCGGTGCCAATCGACCTCCTCGCTGGTGTTCATTCCCTTAACCTGGACCAGAGAGGTATTTGGGTACTGTTTGATTTTGACCTCTTGTATCCTAGGATTGTTCCTCTGGTGTAGAGTCTGAGGCGTTCTCCTTTTGCGTGCCTTAACCATCTTCAGCTGTTTTTTGCTTTGATCTTTGTCTGCAGGCGGTAACCAGAGACGTTGCAGGCCAGAAAGCCTAATCTTTGTTACCAATAACCATCTTGATAGACATCCTATAATACCTACACAGAAAAACCGAAGCCAAACACCGGGACTGAAAAGGGACAAAGGTCATGATACCAGAAAACTTTATTAGATGTCACAACTTTTTTTTTCAATAGAAATAGTAACTTCATTGAAGAACAAAAAGAATAGAAACTGTAACTTTATTAGATGTCAGAAGTTGCACCAACAAAGAAGCAGAATGTGTAAAGAAACCACGGAAAATTAAATTTATCATGCTAAAAGAAGGTGACAGATAATGTAAAGAATACTGAAATAGCCCTGAGAGAGCAAATTTTAAGCCCATCATGCATGGTCAGAACAGGAGAATAACTAAATTGGCAACAGAAGAATTCCCAAAAATAACGCTGAAATACATACATATACAGATGTACAATGAAAGAAATAAAGTGTCTTACCGTTTACGATTCACTGAAGGTAATATTGAAGGCTAAACCACTGAATCCTGAATGAACGTTTTCTTAAATTTCTCTACCAAAAAGAATCCTTGTCAACTATTCATATGCTCTTCACCCTGAGGTGATATGCATCCACGCTCTACAAACCGTAATATAAGTTTATCTGCCGCCTCTGAATTTCCTTCTAACATCAATCTTTTACTCACCTTCTCACATAATTTTAAATCAGGAATCATATTCCGATGGAACATTCTATTGGCCACTCTATAAGCAGAGAGAGGAAGCCCTCTGCTCAAGTAACCATCCATAACAATGTGGCACGTATTAGCATCAATCCTAGAAGCTGTTCTCAACACCTTACTCAAGAGTTTTTCAGCCTCCTCAAGGTTACCGAAACTACAAAGCTTCTCAATGACCTGATTATATACAGTTCGGAAGTTCTGCCTAACAAGCATTTTGTCTAGTAATTTTAACAAATCCTCCACTCTACCCATTTGACAATACCAATGGATGACGGTTCTGTATGTCACAGGAGTAGGATCCAAACCCCTTCCCAACATCTTCATCACAAGTTCATTTGCCTCTTCTATTCTACCTTTCTTCCCTAATGCATTGACTACCGTCGTATATGTGACAGCATCAGGGTGTTTGTTGCTCAGATACATGTCATCAAGCAATGACAGAGCAGCTTCCAAGTCACCCCTCTGACAATATCCGTGAATAAGGGAAGTAAAATTGACAACATTAACAGCACACCCCTTATGTAGACACCACTCCATGAACTTCTTAGCCTTGTCCATTTTCCCTTCTCGGCAGAGAGACTGAATCATCAAGTTTATTTCAACCGAGTTTGGGAAGAAGCCCTTGCTAACCATCTCTTCCACCAAATCGCAGGCTTCAACCAATTTCCCTTCCCTACGCAACCCGTGCATCACAGTACTATAAGTTATGGCATTTGGAGTCCACCACTCTTCCTCGCTCGTATTCATCATATCTCTCGCCTCTAATGACCTCCCATTCTGACAAAGACCATTCAATAAGGCTGTATAAGACACTGTATTCGGCTTACAACCGTACTTGTACATCTGTTGAAGCATCTTTTTAGCTTGCTCCACCTTTCCTTCCCTACAAAATCCGTTGACAACAGAGGTGTATGTCACAACATCTGGGATGCAGCCTTTTGAGAACATCTCATTCACAATCTCTTTTGCCATGTCAATGTTACCTTCCTTGCATAATGTGTCAACTATTGCACTATAACCAAGCTTATCAAATCGAAATCCTTTGCCTTCACCTTCCCTCAAAAATCCCAGAGCCTCACTTCCATGCCCATGCTTGCAGAGCACATGAACCAGATTATTGTAAGTAACTTGGTCCGCTATTAGTCCGGCATCCCTCATCTTCTCCATCAGTTCCTTGACTTCTTTGATCCTTTTTTCTTTGCAAAGAAAACCCATCACCGTATAATAACTAACTTTATCTGGGTGACAACCCTTGAGTGGCATATCAGCAATTAGCTCCAAAGCATCATTAATCTGATGCACATTACAATATCCTTTTATCAAGCAGTTGTAGGTGACAACATTTGGCTTAATTCCAACAATTTCCATACGCTCCAAAAACCTCAATGCCTTTTCCAAGCTATTTCCCATCACCAAAACATGAATCGCACTGTTGCATATAGACAAATTTGGTTCAACCCCCGCTTTCTGCATCAAAGTCAAGATTCGCATTGCGTTCCTCAACTTGCCTGCTTGACTATAAGACACCATCACATGACCAAATGCTTCTGGGGGCCGCTCAATTCTTCTGCGCTTCATAAGCTGGAGGACCCGTTTAGCACCTTGACACAGTTTAGTCTTGCTAAGAATCTCGAGCATTGTGTAGTATACAATTGAGTTGTGTCGATACCGCCATTGCCTATCAGCCCAATAGAAGAACTTCAAAGCAACACGTTCATCGTCAAAAGAACGCAGAACATCACATACCTGCCTAGGCTTGAGGCTTCTTAACAGGTGCCTTAATTCCCCTTCATGCTTTGGGTTCCAAGTCGACCTAAGATCAACTAACCGACAAACTTCTCTCACTAAAGGGTGTCTCAATTGTCCCTCATCTTCTTCAATTCTACCAACATTTTCTCTCTGGGCAATATTCCTATTAGACAAATTCAAGACCTCAAAACCATCCTCACCATCATCATCATAATCACTCTCTTCTTCTACTTCATCATCGCTGTCATCAAACTCGTCAAGCTTTCCAAAGCTCCCAAAATCAGAGCCTCGACCCTCTTGAAAGAAACTCAAACCCCCATAATTCTCAGGACCCATCTTTGTATATCTACCACACCCACCATTGGAATTACCAAATTCACCAATTTCTACAGAACTAGGGTCTTTTCCTGAGTTAAACGATGAGAAAAATACACAAAATCGAGCATACGTCGATGGGTACTCGAGACAAACGGCTTGCGAGATTAAAGGCAAGCGCTTTCTCATCAACCTTAATGCACTGAACTCGTGTGTTAAGAAAAAAGTAAAATTGAAGACCATTTTCAATTTAACTGCCAATGAGATGTCAAATACACTGGAGATTGTTAAGCTTAACTGCAAGTTCGAGCACAACTTGGAGAAAAACACTTCACACAGGGACTGGGAGACCTCTACAGCTCTACAGCCGCTTCCGACTTGTCCGACATGGGATTTTTTGCAAGAATTTTGACAGCCTGAAAACAAACATAGCAAATCAAATTATCATAGTGAGGACAAGAAATTCCATTTCTATATCTCTGCATTTACAACCATGGCTAACTTATTAGTTCATTGAAAAAAAAAATTAAAAGAAAAAAAAAATCATCCCAATAGCAAATTCCAAAGAATTTAGACTACAAAAGCCCCAGCATTCTTTCGAGTGAGCAATGATTTAGCAATCCCTTAGGAGAAAATTCAGAAAATAGAGGATTGTTCGTAGTAATACTGACTCCCCAATTTCAGCAAACATGTTATACCCAATTGATCAATGCCAAAGTAAAATCAATAACGCAAAATTAAAGGGAAGAGAAATAATCTAAAACCCTAAACACTCCATTTTTTTTGCAAATGAAAAGATTTATGTAAGTTTTTTTTTCAGAATATAAACAAAGAGAGATACCTCTTGAAATTCCTGGAAAAGAAAGGCCATTTCTGATTAAAAAAAAAAAAAAAACAAAAAACAAAGCTGGGCGTTGTAGATTTCAGAAAATGGAATGAAAACAAGAAACCATCACGCAAAAAAAAAAAACTTTTTTTTAAAAAAAAAAAAAAAAAAAAAAAAAAAAGCAAAGCTGGGCGTTGTAGATTTCAGAAAATGGAATGAAAACAAGAAACCATCACTGAGAAGCGAAAACGTCGGGACGTCGTCCCAAACAAATGTTTGGGGCTTATTATGGGCTTATAATGGAAAAAAGAAAAAGTAAATCAAATTTTAGTAAATAAAAAATGTAAATATTATAATTGAAATTGATGATTATTTATCTATTTTTAGGGTATATCGCATTAGTTTACTTTTTTTTCTTTAAATCTGAAAATCTCATTAGTTTACTTAATACATTATTTATCCAATATTCATATGATACATATGTTATTTTTTTTAAGGTAAAGTGGGCTACTATATCTAATCTAATAATACATAAAATGTATCTAATCTAGCAATTTAACAATATATAAAAGAGTTAAAAGCTTTTGTATTAATACTCTTTTTTGAAATTGTCACGTGACAGTCTCCCCACTTCTCCAATACGCTTTCTTCTTTTTATTTCCTTCTTTACTTTTTCATCTTAATTCTTTTTATCTTTTAAATGTTTTGCTTTTTATTTATTTTTTTGTTTTGTGAATTTTTTTTACAGTTTAATTTTTTAAAATAATTTTTTCTCACTCTACTCCTATTAAAGTAATTTTTTACATGTGTTTCTTTTTAATTTTTATTGTTAATGGTTAAACTAACTTTCTTCCAATATGTCTCTACTTAATTGTTTTCCATATAATTCTTGTTATATCAAAAGTTATCTTTACACACATTTTTTTTTCTACATTGCTCATACAGAGCACTTTTCAAGCTGCCACTTAATAGCCCTCCCTCTTTCTTTTTTCTTTTTTTTCTTTTTTTTCTTTTTCTTCTTTTTTATATTTTTTAAATGTTTTGTTCTTTTATTTTTTATTTTATGAATGCTTTTTACGTGTGTTTTGCTCTTTTTTAATCCTATTTTTCTAGGGTTTTTTTTATAGTTTTGCCAACGGCATATTTAAAGTTTAATCTTTAAATGATTATCTATACATCTAATATAACATCTAAAGCTTATAAAAGCAGTCAAGTGGACTTAGATCCTAAAGAGGCCAAATCTTCATTTTTTTTTTTTTACTTTTCCTATTTTTCTCTTTTTTTTAAAAAAAAAATTCTACTTTCTTCTTTTCTTTTGCCTTTTATTGTTTCCCATAGTATTATTTGATAGTTCTTTTTTTCTCAAAAATATCCTTTTTTAAAATACCTTTTTTTTTGCTTTCTTTTAGTTAAAATAAGGAAAATTGTAGGAAGTAGGCCTACATTTAAAACTTATAGAAGTAAATAACCAATTTTGCATAGAAATTTATAGACCATTTCATGTTTTTAAATTTTTTTTTCTAATTTTACCTTTTTCTTGCTATTTTTTCCGTTCCTTTGGTAAATCCAAGTATGTCTATGATTTACCAAGTTAGAATCACTTGAAAAAGAATAGCACAAATTCTAATGGTAAATCTTGGATATGTTAGGAATAGTGTCCTAAAAGCATGAGATGTAATAGGATATTTATTTAATAAAATATTTTATTCATCATTTTATGTGCATATATTTATGAATATTTTATGAATATTAAATGAAAATTTCATTATTATTTATGTGACCTTAAACATTGTATATAAGTATTATATGCGAAAGGATAATGTTTAAGGATAATAATCAAAAACAATGTTTGTAATGAATTTAATTAAAGTTCAGAATCTTTGATTAAAACATTACTAATACATATCATTCACATTTAGAATAGAACGGTGTTATCCGTATTGTTAATATGACGAGATATTGAATGAGTGTATTACGCATAATGAGATTATGTGGAATAGGGACACAGACACAATATGAATTTCTAATAATTTTCGTTAAGTATAGATATTCTAATTGAGTCTACCGATAGTCATATATAGAATGATCTTAATCTGGAGTTCTTAGCATATTCTTATTTATAGATTTGTGTCTTTTGATTTACTCGGTACGGATTCTGAGACCCTGAATCATATTCCTTGTATTTTGGAGACATGATGAAGTAGGTAGTCGGGAATGTTATTATACAAGATGGAATCCATTCCTTCTTGTGAAAGAAGTAGATAAATAATGTCCTTGCAGTATTGATTCGGTACTTGGATTAGTTAGAGCGCTCTTGTTCCTGAATGTGTTTATGAATCACTGTCCATTAGGAATCAATAGTAGTTAAGGATAAAGATATAACTAGAGAGATTAACAGATTTCACCTAGCTCTAATTATGAATTATTTATGGAAGATTGATCTATATGCAATGGCTATATCAAATGGACACTTCACAGTTTAGAAGTAATTTATGTCTATAATTACAAGAGTGCAATTCCAAGTTTATAGTGGAGCAACTATTGAAATTAATATAATTAATTAATTAATTAAAGTGTTTGATTAATTATTAATTTTATTGGAGCTCAGAATTATAGGTCTATGAGTTCTCGCGTCGTCCTTGTAATTCCACAAGACACAAAGGGTAAAATGGAAATTTTAGAATTATAGAATTCTAAAATAAAATACTCAAGGATAATTAATTGAGAATTAATTATAGATTAAATAATGTGATTATTTAAATTTAAATTTGAATTTTAGATCACTTATGTGAAGGTCTTCACATTGTGTGAATGCAAGGCACAGTGTGAACACACAGTATGAACACTTCTAGAATTATCCATTTAAACTTATTTGATAAGTTGTTCAATTTGAAATTCAATTGATTTAAGTTTGACTTAAATTGGAATTTGAATTTGAGTCAAAATTAGACTACAAGATAAAGAAAGATTTTTCATCCTTCCCTATATGTAATTGGCGCCTAATCAGAGGGATAAGATTTCCCATGGTGGCCAGCCATACAAGGATAAGGGAGTTGGAGATTTTGTTCCAAATTCATATGGGAGATAATTGATAAGCTTTATCTTGAAGATAAAGATTGGATTCTTGCTAGGAGTTTGACTACTACTCTATAAATAAGAGAATTGTAGAAAATTGTGTGACACAATTTTTCTCTCTTAAAAACATAGTGGCCGAATATACCAAGAGTGGGAAGGAAAAATTTTCTCTAAAAATTTCATGTCATGCATGCGTTGGTGTTTGTGAAAAATTTGAGTGTTTTATTGCTAATCATGTTTTGTCTCAGGTGTGCCCACACACACGTCTTCGTGGATTCTAGGAATTGACAAAGAAGACTTTGATTTTCTAAACTAGCATTGGAGTAAGGAACGTTCGAGGTCAAAGAACTCAAGTTATCATCCTAACCAGCTGCTAGGTATAATTCTAATCGAGTTCTTATTAAATAAATTAATATGATTAATTTATTCGTGCATAAATTAATCTATAGAATATCTCAAAAGGTTTATGAAAATTTTTGTTATACACGATCTGCTACTTACACGCTTCCGCATCCAAATTCAATTCGAAAACCAGCAGGATATATATGGCAAATCCAGGATTTACCAAATTCATATTACTAGGAGAAAAAATTATAGATTCTAATGGTAAATTCTGGATATATACCTAGTAAATCCATGATTTACCACATTCGTATTGTTGGAAATAGTGTCCTTAAAATATAAGATGTAATAGGATAGTTCTTATTTATTTTATAAAAGAGTTTATTCATTATTTTATGTGTATATATTATTAAAAAATTATGCGATTATTTATGTAATCTTAAATATTGTATATAAGAGTTATATATGAGAGGATAATATTTAAGAATAATAATTAAAGCATGTTCGTAATGAATCTAATTAAAGTTTCAGAATCTTTAATTAAAATATTACTAATACATGTCATTTCCATTAAGAATAAAGCAATGTTATCTGCACTATTAATATGGAGAGATATTGAATGAGTTTATTACACATAATGTGATTATGTGGAACCAGGACATAGACGCAGTTTAAATTTTTGATAATTTCCGTTAAGTATAAAAATTCAAATTGAGTTTACCGATGATCATATATAGAAATATCTTAATCTTGAATTATTAACAGACTTTTGTTTATGGTTTTGTGTCTTTTGACTTCCTCGGTATGGATTTCAAAATTTTAAATCATATTCCTTGTATCTTGGAGACATGATAAAGTAAGTAGTCGGGAATGTTAATATACGAGATAGAATTCATTCCTTCTTTAATAAAGAAGCACATAAATAATTCGCTTAAGATTTTATTCGGTACTTGAATAAGTAACGAGCTCATATTTATGAATTTGTTTTATGAATATACTATTCATTAGAGAATCAATGGTACTCAAGGATAAAGATGTAATTAAAGAGGTTAACAGATTTCACCTAGCTCTAGTTATGAATTATTTATGAATGATTGATCTATATGTAATAACTATATTAAATGGACACTTCAAGGTTGTGAAAGTAAATTATATCTATAATTGTGAGAGTCAATTGCAAGTTTATAGTGGAGTAACTTTAGAATTAATAGAATTAATTAATTAAAGAGTTTGATTAATTATTAATTTTATTTGAGCTTGGAATTATAGGTACATGAATCCCTGCACTGTCCTTATAATTTTACAAGACACTAAGGACAAAATGAAAATTTTAGAATTTTGTAATTCTAAATAAAACACTTAAAATAATTAATTGTAAATTAATTGGATATTAAATAATCTGATTATTTAATTTGAATTTTAAAAGACACATGTGGTGGGGTCCACATGATGTCACACGCCCAGCATTGTACGAATTCATCTAGGATTCAGTTACTCACTCTCTAAGTTATCTGATTGTCTTATTTGATAAGCTATCAAATAAGAATTTAAATTAATTAAAGTTTGACTTTAATTGAAATTTAAATTTGTGTCAAAATTGGATTATAGGATAAAGGAGAACTTTTTCTCCTTCTCCTATATGCTAAAAAGCCAACC